AGGTATTTTCCATGCATTTAGGCATCTTGATTTTCAGATCAAGATCATGCTCTTGCTTCCTCTCTTTATATTTTGTAATGCTTAAGTTTTGTTTATAGTAATCTCATATTTATGCCTTTCATTTCCTTTCCTTTACTTACTTAACTTATATCTTATGTATGTTCTTATCTTGTTTATTTATGTTTCTCTTTTTCACTATGTTTAGTTAATTTTATTATGTCAAGGTGAAAATGTTACAATAATGGTATATGAATAAGTATAGTATAAACTCATCATGGACTTTAATATTTGATACTAACATATTTTATATTTGTTATCTTGTTTAGTTTTTAATACTTTGCTTATTAAATAGTTAACCTAGATTTATGTTGTATAACCCTCGGTACAATAAATACTTGGCACTTTCATAGTCCGGACAGTATGGTATAACCGACATCTATGCTATGAAAGAAACTTGTCTGTTAATAACATAAGTTATAATCATGAATACTTGACAGTATTTACAAGTATTAGCATTTCAAATAAGATAATTAATATAATCATGTTAACAATTTATAATCAGATTGGAACTTTTTTTATGTGTGGTTTCCAATTGAATAATAAGAGTTTATACTATACTTATTTGAAATACCATTAGTGGATCCTCTAACTTTGACAATTGTTTTTATCATTGTTTAATCCTTATATCAATATCACATTTCAAAGCTCTTTTTATTATTATTGTTGTTGTTGTTGTTGTTGTTATTGTTATTGTTATCTATAATTTATATAGTCAACCTCCTTGTGATTCGACTCCGGTCTTGCTGGGTTATTTATTACTTTGATAATTCTGCACTTGGGAGAAGATATCAATCTTTTGGTTGTGTCAATAACCCAAATATCCTAGTTTTAAATTTAGTATATACATTAGGCCAAAATTAATAATAGAAAATAAAGAACAAATATGTTGACGCAAATTGACCCGTTATACAATTTATGCAATCAAAATTGAAACCAAAATGAAAATGTATCCAAATGACCTAAAACTTAATATCTAAAGTTATGGTACCTAAAACCCCAAGAATACTAGTTTGTATGTATTTTATCAAGTTTTGATTCAATCCTCCTTGTAAAAGTAACTAGTAACCATAACTGAAACTTACAATGACTTTTCTCCAGCTTTTTTTTTTTTTGTATTTGTGGTTATTGATTTTCATCGACCATAATGAAATCAATGGACTTTTTTTTAATGATGCAACTAAAGAAGGAGTAAAAGAATGAAAAGCATTGAAATCTAAATATGGACAAGTTGAAAAGCTCAAAAAAATATAACTTGATTTTTAGAATCAAGCTCTAATAACAATCAATGCAACCCCATGGATATAAGACCTAGAAACCCACAAGCAAATTTAAACATAATCTTAAAAAGCTAGAGATCAGATTTGAGATAGAAGCATGATACAATAATTATCTTGAATTGAGACATCAATACTATTGGAATTTGAACCCCCACTTAACAATTAATGAATCGTGAATGAGAAGTATAAGAAAGACATCATAAAGATAGTTGTTCCTTATAAGTTAATTTTAATTCTTTTAAGAACTAATAAGTATCAGTTCTCTCTCTCTCTCTCTCTCTCCCTCTCTCTCACACACACACACACACACATATTATTCATAAATCAAAATCGGTAAAATAAACCTAAACACAAACTAAATAACTAAATTTATAATGGGTAAAAAAATCCTAAATAATACTAAAAAAATAGTTAAAGAGTTCCAAATAAAATACAAAAAAAGTTTTGAATCAACTAGGAAATTACTATAATGCTTATAAAGTAGTTATGGATCTTATCATAAGGCATTCTAGATGTCCAATCGCTATAAAAGTTTAACAACATATTAAACTAGGTTTCTAGAATTTTATGGTAAACTTTCAACTCGATCCAACAATTAGATAAAAGATTATGCTTGTTAGCGTAAGACTATATATAAGAAAAAATCAATTTAGAACCAACTTAAATAATGTCTTTGAATAATAAGGATTGTTGCTGCCAACTTTAATTCTTCTAAATAAACATGAAAATCTTTGTAATAGTTGTTACCCCTTAGTTTCTGTGTAGAAGATGGAAACTCCCAAAATATTCTTGTAATGTTAGGATTAATTGTTACCACCTATCTTTCCTTGTAGGCCATGAAAAGTTATTCAAATAAATTTGCCCAGTTATATTGTTAGCTCTAAGCCTAAGTTGGGTCTAAGTTAAGCCTTTCTTGTGCATGTATTATGTTGATTATAAATTGTCTCATATGTGTTGAAGTCTCCTTGAAGTTAGCTTTTACTTAAATACTATGAACAAGCATTTTCAATGTTTTATTTTGCTTTTTGACCTTTGACTTTATGATTGGTCTAATTAACACATCTAATAGATCTTTTATCATAACAGACTGATTTGTATCAGGTCGATTGCTTAAGACTCATATTGTGAATCAAAGTGTAAACCCTAGCCAGCTTAACATTTTACTTTCTTGGATAAAAAGGTTCAAAATAATATCTAATAGTATCATAACTATGAAACCTTATTGATAGGTTGTTATTTCAAGACCTAGATTGCAAGTCAAAGTGTTGACTTGAGCTAATCCAACATTTTATTAAAAATATTAAAATGATATCATTTTGATATAAAAAAATAATTTTTTTATTAATTTAGCGCAACTCCAGGCTATAAGTTGGCAAGTCCTTAATTTGACTCTTGAAATTGAAATAAATTGCATGACTAAGTGTCATATACCATAATTGATTCATAATAATTGATTCATAATAATTGATAAATATTTTATAAGTAACACTTTATTGAAAATCATACCTTGATAATTTTAAATGAGACTAGTATGAGTCCCTAATTTTTATGAGGTAATTACCATCTAATTATATATCTTAATTAAAAGACTGGTGTATGAATAAATTTTTAATTAAATTATTTTTTTAATTTCAATCAATAAAATTATTAAGTGATAACATAAAATTCAAGTGATTTCTCTTTATTTATTAAAAAAATCATCAAAATTCCTAAAATTCTTACTTTGAATCACATGAAACTTGCGAGCATCATTTTTTATATATATAATTTATTGGATATCACGTGATGTTGAGAACTTTAATAAAGTCATGAATTCTTTACAAAAAGAAATGAAACAAGCTTCACGTAATTATTTAACAATTTTACTAATTGAAAAGTAACAGGGAAAAAAAAGTAATGAAACGAGAAAGAGGAAAGAAAAAAAAAAAAACAGCGTCGGCTTTTGAGCATGGACGTCAAACTGCACTGATATAGAGTAGAAAGCGATGTCGTTTTAAGAAAGAGAAGGGAGACGCGCCCGCTAGGACATGGTTACGGTAGATGGGTGGGTAGAATGTTTGAAAATCGCGTGACTCAGACCTCATCATTGACTTTCAAAACGGCGTCGTATACAGCCATGGAGGTGGGGTCCGGCAATGCTTGTTAAATAGTTATTTGACTATTATTTCGCCGTTGTAGGTTCGATTTTTTTAATTAAAAAATTATATATATTGATTTTTTTGATTTTTTATAATTAAGAAAATCTAAGTAAAAATAAATTTTTTATGTATATTTATAATCAAATAAATTAAGAACTATATGTTAATAAATAAAAAATTAAAAATAATAATTAAAAACTAAATTGAAAAAAATTAAAAAACAAGTTTAAATTAAGATATCTAATCTTGTTGGACAAGATATTTAAGTGATTGGGTTTGCTAAATTTTTTTATTAAAATATTTTTTATTAAATTAAATAATAATAAAAATAAATGCATATTTTTATTTTAAAAAATATGCAAGATTGTATACAATAAAAATATTATATAAAAATAATTTTTTATTTTAAAAAATAAAATTTATTTATACAAAAGATAAAAAATAGATAAATAAAAAATATCTTTTCAAAAATTAAATATACATAAAATAACTAAAAATAAATTGTTATTTAAAAGATGAAAATGTGTATTAATCTAAATATAAATCAAATAATAATAATTAAAAATATAAAAAAATATTAATTTTAAAAATTAAAAAAAAAATGAAGTCATGCCAGCATATTTAACTCATTTTATTAAAGGTCATATGTTTGGGTTTTTATTTTTTTCATTGTAGTTAGAACATACAATATATTATTTATCTTAATTTTTTATATAAATAAATAAATTAGATAATATGTCATCTGATTTCATCTAGATTTTAATTATTATAGTGGCAAAAAATCAACGTTAAATATTTTTTAATTTGAAAACTTATTTTTTAATTTATATTTTACCCAAAACATTTTAAAAATCTTAATAAATCTATTTTGACCTAAAAAATTCAAGAAATCATCTTAAAGCCCAAAATCAACCTAAAATAAAAAATCTTTCAAGATAAAAAATAACTTTTAATGCGAATTTTTTTCATCAAATAAAATTATTTAATATAAAAAATCAATTATTTAATAATTAAGATATGTGAACAACATCTTTTTTTATTTTATCATTACAACCTTATAACTTCTCTCTCTTCACTTTCAAATTAAAAATTAAAAATAATAAAAATAAATTTTATATTAAAATTAAATTAAAAAATATTAAAAGACTAAATATATATAATTTTTCAAATATAAAAATTAAATTAAATTTTTTGAAACCATCATGTGAAATAATTTTTACTTTAATTATTTATCTTTTAATGTTATTCTTTAGTAATTTGTTTTTAAAAATGTTTTTGCAGCTAAAACTCAAACGATGTCATGATGTTTAAAAAAAAGATAGCAAGTCGATGCACTATAACTAACAGTATTTTTTAAAAAAAGATAGCAAGTCGATGCACTATAACTAACAGTATTTTTTTAAAAAAGATAGCAAGTCGATGCACTATAACTAACATTACACTTGTAATTGCCTTACATTACAAACAAGAAAGCGACAATCCATCTATCTCCTTACATTACAAACAAGAAAGCGACAATCGATGCTCCACGACGCTCCTTCCTGCCTTCCTTCTCTTATTAATATTATTATTAAACAACAACAGCAACAGTAGCTTTAGCAGCAGCAACAGATTAAGCAATGACATCTTCAAGATTTTCTCTCCTCTTCCCATTCTTTGTTTCCTTCCTTCTCTGCATCATCTCTCACCCTGTCCTTTGTGACGGTAGGTTATCCTTTTTCTTTTCTTTTCTTAAATGCCCTTTAGCTAATTTGTTTTTTAACTTGATCTTGCCAAATTTTTGCGAGATCTGATTAGCTGTTAATTAGTCTTGGTGGTTATATTAATTAATCTGGATACTGGGTAATTGGGTTGCAGCATTTGTTACTAGCACATGTAGGGTCGATTGCTCTATCTAGGACTTATGTATGTTCTTTCACTGATTTTGCTGCTAATGGTGTCTGTCATCTTATTAGAACTCTTAGCTTGGTCTCTAGTTTAGTTACTGAAATTACCTTAACTAGATTGCTTATCTGACTTGATCTAAGACAACCCACTTTTTATTATTTTTGAATTTAGCTAAGATTATTTATGGCCAATTAATTCACTGTAATATAGCGTGGTTTATGGATCTTGATTGAAGAACTTTCCTAAAAAGAATAAAAGGAAGACTTGCTGGTAAATCACATTCATTAATGCTTATGATTTTGATTTCAATTCTCACATAAATTGAATTGAATTGATTTCATTTCAACCCAAATCGCACCCCACTTGGTGAGATTTAGAGCCGTATGGAAATATATGGTTTTAATGGGATGTAGAATTCATTTCTATTGCTCAGGACTTTCCGAAACCCTGTAACAGGTAAATGGTATTGCATTGATTTCATTTAATTTCTACCCTAAATCTAATGTTTCCAAATGGGCTGTTGGTGAATTTGCCTTTGCAAGATTGTTTTCATGATTTTCCTTCTCTGTAATAGATTATTAGTATCTATGGTTAACTTACAATAACCAGCTTATGTTTTCCTTGATCGCTGAATCTTTTGTTTTTCAAGCCTTCCCTTACAATCTTCATGATTTCTTAACCATCTCCTAGAAAATTATAATTAGGCAGTCCCAAGAAAGCTGGAGTAAGAAGTCTCAGAATTCCAGAACAAATTGTTTCTTATCATAGGAGGCGCATCTTTTAGGTTTAGCCAATAAAAATCCTCTCCCAAAAGTTGTATGTTTCCATCAAAATGAAGCACTTTTTTTCTTCTTTGTATGTGGCTTTTACTTACGAAGGTTTTAGAGTCAGCTATTTACTTGTAAGATTCTATTCCTGTGCTATTTCTGCTCCACAAATTCAAATGCATGTCCTCTTATTTTGATAAGATTGCCCTAGTAATATTTGTTTTGCTATTGGTTTCTCTCATTGTTAATGTTATTTCCCTGTGTTAGAATTGTTCTTTCCATTAATCTGTTATGCTGTCAAAATCTTTTTGACGCAAGCAGCTGATGCTTAAGATCAAGAAAATGGTTTTCAAAGTTAGTGTCCTCTAAGTTCCCTTGGGTTCAAGCCCATACTATTAAAAGCTACTTTTGCTGCTTGTTTAGAATGCACAAGAATTTGGGAATTGTCTGAGATGCTTAGTGTTCCGTGGCCTTCTTTTCCAAGAAACAACAAAACATATATTCCATGATAAAATTCTCTCCACTGGCTGAAATGTTGACGCAGAGCTTCTCATTCCACCATTTATGTGCAGATCAGGTGGATGGCCTTCTTCAAAGCATTAACAACTATAGGACATCCTTGAATTTAACTGCCCTCACAAAAAATGATAATGCAGAGTGCCTTGCTGAGGAATTAGCTGACCAGTTTAAGGATCAACCCTGTACAAATGCCACGGGCTCCAACACAGTACCAGGTACTGAAACGCAGTTCCCCAATTACCCAAGCCTTCTAGCCAAATGCCACCTGAATGTATCCAACACAAGGGATGGAGCCTTGATGCCCGCTTGTGTTCCCAACCTGGATCCAAGTCTTGTGCTAACTAACTTCACGCAGACTCAATACTCAGGTAGCCTTGATGATGCTAAGTTTACGGGAGCTGGGATAGGTTCTGATGGTAACTGGATTGTTGTTGTTCTGACCACAAGCACACCTGAGGGAAGCTTTGTGACTTCTAAGGCAGACAGTTCGGATTACAATGCAGCCAATTTGACAGACAAGAATATGGGTCTAATCTACTTGCTGTTTTTGCTGACGGCATCTCTCTTCTTGTTGTAAACTAAGTGGATGGCTACCACTAGCACGCCTGAATGCAATTCGATTTTACACGGATACAAACCAGCTGAGGGCAGCTTCTTTTCTTTATGCAATGGATGGACAAGTGATTTAAATTGCAAATTATACTTGCTCCCTTTGATTTCACTTAGTTCTAACTTGATTTGTAATGCTGTCGTTGAGAAATATGTTTCAGAGTGGACTGATTATTTGTATCACTGTTTTTTTCTTATTCATACGGAGACAAGAGCTAAAGAAAAGAGAATAAAACTTGTTGTGTACCCTATTTGATGTTCTCTTACCTGTCAAGCATTATAGGATTTCTTTTTGCTTCTCTGTTCAATCGTATCCTCAGTATATCCCATCGCCGTATGATAACATCATCATCATTATTATTAGTTAAAAAAACTAAAAGACATGATGTTCTTACATGCAAAAGTGTAATGTCCTTCGTGCTCTTATAATTCAATGGGGATTACAATAGTTTTTTTTTTTTCTTCATTTGAATCATCAAGTTTTTTTTGTTTCATCCTTTTTGTTTTTCTATGTTTTTTTCGGTTGATAATTTATATTCTTTTTGTGTTTCCTTGAAAACGAAGGTTTTGAAAATATTAAAGCTTTGATTGGAGGTTAATTTAATGAGATAAATTTTTATAAATACCAAACTAAGAAAAGGAGAAAACATGGTGGCCTACTGAAATATGCATGAAAAGGTTATCTTTATTCTCCATGTTTTATGTTGACTTTGTTTTAGGGTTTTTTAATTTTGAGATTTTTTATTTTGGTGTTTTTTTCAAGTTTTAGTTTTAGAGTTTTAGAAAATAAAAAAAATTATTAAAAATTAAAAAGAAAGGAGAAAATGGTCAGTTGACCATATTCTAATAATAAAACAAAATATTGGTATTAATGAATTTTATTTGATTAGATAAGTTTTATTGATGTATTTTTAAAAATTATTTCGTTGGAAATGTAGATCCAGATTGAGAAAGATTTTTTTTTTAATTTTGCATTTTAGACCAATTAATGAGTGTTTGAGTTAGAAAAAAAAATGGTTTATTACAGTTGTAAGAGTGTTTGTTTGATTTTTTAGATGGTAACATGTTGAAAATGGTTTTTTAGTTTAAAAAATCCTAGATTTTTGACCATATGTCTAATGATCAAAATTTAAAAAGTCGAAGTTGCAACGAACACTTTTTTTGTATGATCCATAATAATTTTTTCTTGAACTTTTATGTAATAAAATTCATAAAATTAATAATGAAAAATATGATGTTAAGTGAGTATATTGAGTATTGGAATTAAAAATGTAACTTTGAATGTTGGGAATTTGAAATCAAATTTATACGTGTTAACTTCAAAATAAAAATATGAAAATGATGGAAAAGTAAAAAAAAAAAAAGAAGAAGATAAAAACAAAATGGAAGTGATAAAAAAAGAAAGCAATGTTCTCAAATATAATTTAATAAAATTTGATCTAGTTTATTTAAAATTAAAAATGCATCTAAATATAGGAAATATGATAAAGTAAACATAAAAGGTACAATATAGATTTGTAAAAAAAAAATTTTGATAAATTTGAAGAATTTTTATAAATTCAGGTGAAAATATTTAGAAAATTATTTTGGAATTTCTTTTAAAAAACAAATTAATGTATGGTTTTGCATGCCAATGACTTTGATCGTCGGTGTAAACATGTGTGCAATCGCTTAGTTTTTAACCTAGAATGGAATGAAATTTGAGAAAAAATTATATAATAAATAAGGATAAAAGTACTCAATGAATTAGATAAAAATATTAATGATTTAATAAAATAAAACATTGAAAAATTCAGATTTTTTGTGTAAAAATTACTTCATATCTAGTTTTATGTTATTAAACTTAACTCACAATTCAACCATTAGATCATACTAAAATTTTATGAGTAACTTCCTAAAATATTGTTTTATCTTAAATAAAAATTTAAAGTCAATTGATATTAAAAAAAAATATACAAAATTATTGGTGCTGAGAAGTATAATTTGCGGTACATTGTAAAAAAAAAAAAGAAAGAGAAAGAGAGAGAAACATGTAAACTCCCATTTAAATGGGAGGCTGACTCTAAAGAAGAACATTTTGTTCTTCATTTTAAAGCCACCCGAAAGTATCAGCAAAGAAGAACAAGTGTTCTTTCACCATTTCAAACCTTCTCCCGTCCCTTTTATCTAAGCAAAACCATGGAAACTTAAATACTTTAGTTGAAAGAGCGAAACCATGATATAAACATCAAACTTAGAATATATAGTGAAGAGAGAGAGAGAGGGTGTAACACTAGAGAGAGTGAAGAAATTGAAGGAAAATAGAGATTGAGGTGGAGATCCGGTTTTGAGTTTGAAATTTGACATCAAAATGACAAGGAAGGTGTGTTCAATCCACCAAACTTACTTTAATTTCAATTAATTTTTATTAATAACTAGGGTTCTTGATTCAATTTTTGAGGGAAATGCAAGAAAGTGATGAAGTGATAAACTAGAGTGAAATACATTAGGGAACTATATCAATTATAAAAAATTAATGAAGAAAGTTTAGGAAAAAGGAAGGACATAAGTGTTGTCCAAATGGGGAAAAATTTAAAGGTTTTTTAGGTGTGAATCAAGAGAAAGGGGGGGGGGGAATTCAAATATAATTGAAAAAAAAAAGAATATAAAATGGATAAGGAATTAGGTCTTGGTCAAGTGAAGGAAAATAGAGAAAAAATTTTTGGTTATATAATTATGTGCTCATGAATAAGTGACTCTAGATGTAAATCTAGATGTAGAGAATCTATTCGAGGTATTTAAATCAAGTTGTGAAATTAAAGATAGGTGATAAGAAATGGAAAGAAGAAGAAGTTATAACATTGGTTGTCATTTTGAAAACATATGAAATTTAATGATAAATAAATAAATAAAATAAATTTGAAAAGAAAATTTGAGGTACGGGAGTATTGAGTTTTGGCCAAAATAGATGTTCAGGGGAGAAATTTTTCAATTTTGTGTTAGGTATGTAAATATATGGATGATGGAAAACTTTAATGTGAATGTACAATTGAGTAAAGTATATTGTGAATTATGAATGAAGAAAGTTATGAGATGATTAGTACTTAAAAATGTATTTTTATCAAGATTTTATATTAAGATTTTATACTTGAAGTATCAATAACTCATTAACTAAAGCATGTTTTATAATATTGACACAATCAAAAGATTAATGTCTTCTCTCAAATGTACGAGTGCCAAAGTAATAAATAATCCAACAAAACCGGGATCGAACCATGCTTGACCATGTTTTATGATCTTATGATCGGCTTGTTTTAACTCGCAAGTGCACGAGTGTGCGATGTAGCAATTAACTCGGTAAGATCGAGGTCATATCCACAGAGAGCTAGATCTGGAAATTAAGCTAGGTAACAAAAAAAACTCAAGAGAAATTAAATTAACAATAACTTGGTTGGAAATAATTGATGGATTTGTTTTCAAAGATGAAAAAATGTAAATAGATTTTAAATGACAAGAAAAGTAAGTCTTGGTCCAAATCAATTTTAATGGTGATGTATTGGTGATTTCTTCAACATATATAAGATAACTCAACCTAATATCAACGATGATGATATTAGATCATTACAATGAAGTTTAAAAAAATAAAAATTGATTATTGCTTAAGAATGAATAAGTACTTTCATATTAAGTAAGATATTAAATCAAACAATCTCTATATCAAAACTAAAGTTTGTGCATAAAAATTCAAGATTATAACATTATCTAAATGATTTCTAAAATTTCCTTGAAATAATAAAACATTCATGAAGAAAATGAGAAGATAAACATTAAGATTCATTCATATCTTAAAGAACTCACCTCAACCACCATTATCCTTGATTTGGATTCAAGAAAGAGATCAACCAACCATGATTATGTATAAGAACACTTTCATAAACATAAAATAACTTGAATCAAACTAAAAAAATAAGTTTTACAAACTAAAGAATTGAAATCTACAAAGAAGAACACAACACAATTTCAGTAAAAATTCGGACATAAATATGATGCCAACTTTGGACAGCAATTTAGACCCTCTTAAAAGCCTTTTCTGGAGATGTCTATTAGAGATATATTTATAGGAAATTTTATCGCCTTTCTAGATCATTAAAGAATAGCTCATTTGGACACCTGAGTCAAAAGTTATGGGCAAAAAACCAAAAAGTGTTCTGAAAAATCAAATTAGACCAGCTTTGCAATCACTTTGATGCACGTTTTTCTTCCTCCTTTATGAGCTGTCTTTTTCTTGTTTTTGACCCAAAATAATGTTACAATATCTCCTCCAGCTTTCCATCCATGTGATTGCCTTATTGGATTAATGAATTAACCAAAATAAATCAATTGTTATTTGTTGTGTGAACATGTA